GAAGAGGGTGTGGCCTCATGTTCAGATGCCACCATGGTGTTGACACACTTTTGTACCTGTTGAAGCCTCGTGGTGCCCACATGTGCCTGTGTCCTCTCCTCTCCCTTCTCCTGATGGCCCTTACCCCTTCCTCACTCTCAGTCCCTCCTCCGAGGCCTGACCATCAGGCTCCAGGGTTTGCTGACTGACTTGCCCCGGGTGTGGCAGGGGCTGCCCTTGCACTGCCGCCCCCTCTCGACGCTCGTCTGAGCCCTGGAGGTCCTGTGAGGTGGCGACTCTCCGTGCTGAGTTATCCCAACTCACTGGCTGTTTGATGTGCAAGACTGGGTCTGAGCTGCTATCTTAAACCTGGTTGTCCGACTTGAGGGCCCACCTGTGCTGTGGACCTGGGACCCGGATTCCCAGGGGCCTGTGGCTTCTGCACTCAGAGAGGCCAGGTACCTGGGAAGGTGTCCGTGCCTCCTGCTGTCCCTTGAGCCTGGGAGGAGGAGTGGAAAGGCCATGGAGCCCAAGAATGAGGCATGCTTCCGGCTGGCTCTCTGGCTCCGAGAACCTTCGCTAGCCCTCCTTCCAGGACTTGGAAAGGACACAGGAATGAGAGGACAGGTGACTGTTACTGCTGATGCCTGAGGTTCCCAGTGTTGTTCAGGGAGCCCAGTTTGGGGCACAGCCTTGTCCCCGTGGTGGGAGTGACCATCCCCTGCAGCCTGCCCAGTGCACCCTGCAGTGCTCGGAGCGTCCAGTGCCTGAGGGCTTGCACACGCTCATATCATCGCTTTGCACGTTCCATGTGCACATGCCTTCCTGCACCTGCTTGTAAAACATGCTTAAAATTCATTGTGTGGGCTGGTTTGTGCAGCCACCGGCTTGCAGCTTAGAGCCCTGTGCAAGCTTTGGCTGTGCGTCCCCTGGCTGGCTGCACACCGACCACACGACTGTCAGCCTGGGGGGGCAGGTGGCACCCTGAGGGCTGGGGCTCCAGCTGGGTGGAGACGCTGGTGCAGTGGCCAGAATTCCTTGAGAAGCTTCACAGAGTTTTTTTGGCATCAGAAATTCCTTTTCTAAAGGATTTGCTGTTTGTTGTTGTTCTTGTTTTCAAATGTTCTCCTTGAAGTAGTTGTATGCAGCCTTTTAAGGAGATACACGTTTTCAACTTAGTCTTGACGTTAACTTACAATTCTAGGCCCTAAAGGGTATGGCAGACGGCATGGGCGCTGCCCCGGGGAGGAGACTTTCCTGGTGCCCAGCCGTCTCGGCGGCAGGGCAGCCTGTGCGTGACCACCGCCACCGCCACTTACTTCACATCTTATTTATGAACTTGCTGCCTCTCTTGAGGGTCAGTGGGGCCAGAGGGTGCTGTGTGAGGTGGTGCCTGCAAGGCTGACGACTGAGGCTGCTCCCCGACACTGGCCAGACCTCTTGCTGTCTGGGCACCGCCATCCCTTTGGCTCAGTTTAGCCAATTTCTGGATGCCCAGCTTCCCTAGAGCTCCTGACAAAGGAAGACCCCAAAGTCACATGAACACAGGTGAGACCCCAGGTGGTTTCTGGACCTCAGAGTGGTAGGTGTTTGTCCTGGGAAATTTACAGAATGCTGAAAAGCACACAGAGGCAGAGTGAAGCCCTCTTCGTTCTCAGTCTCATTCAAGTGTCCAGAGGTTGGACCTGTGGGTCTCCATTTCCCGTGTGCGCTGTTCTCGACGGCAGGACAGCTCCCGACCATGCAGGTCGGATTGGGGGCGATAAATGGCGGCAGGAGATGCCCAGAAGCCTCAGCCCCCCAAGGGGTGCTGATGGAGCTGGAGGTCCCCTGTGGGTCTGTACCAGGCAGGGCAGGTGGCAGCAGCCTGGCCTGTCCCCTGGGCAGTGCCCACTTGTGTTTTTCCCTGCAGTTTCCTTTCAGCCAAAGATAGGGACCAGGCTCTTTCATGCCACCTTCTGTCCTCCGTCATCTTTGGCCTGTTCCCTGACACCTCAAACCCCTCAGGTTGGGATGAGGTAGGAGTAGGGTTAGAGCCAGGAGAAGCCAAGTGAGACTGGTGTCCTTTCCTGCTGGGGCTGGTCACCCTCAGCTCACCCCATCAGCGTGTGGTTGACCACATGTCACGGCTCCATCCCACCCACAGGAAGCCACGCAGAGGTGGGGCCTTCTTGTTCCCAGGTGACGCCCCACCACACCCTACAGCAGCATCAGGCCCTCATCTGGCCAGTATTTGGAGCTGGGGTGGAAGTAATTTCCGGGGACTCTCGGCCCCAGTGGGCATCGCCTGTGCTGTGATTTTGGCGCTGGCATCTGTGGAGGTGCTGGCACGCTGCGGCGTAGATGTTTACCACATGGAATTAGAGGACTTGTGCTCCTGGGGTCTGCACCTGCTCATGGATGTTCCCCCTTCTCCCTCTCCCAGCTTGTGGACGAGCACGGTCCTGGAGACAGACCTGGTGTGACCCAGTCTCCGGTCCCTGTAAGCCACGTGTCATGACCCGGCTACTTGGCTTTCCAAAGCCATGTGTGTCCATGGGGGGATGGTGGCACCCCAGAGCTGCTGGAAGACTGAAGGGAGACTCAGGCTCACACACACACTCTCATGGCCACATGTGTACACTCAGCACACCCACACACCTGCTCTCACTGACAGCCACACACACTCGCACCCACACTCATGCATTGTGCACTCACACCCATGCACACTCACAGTCCTACACTGTGCACTCAAACACCTGCACGCATGCTCACCCACACATGCGTGTGCACACACACTCATGCTCAGCGTGGCACTAGCCCTTCCTGCTGAGCGACCCTTCGCAGCACAGCAGCCTCAGACTGAGGTGTGGGTGTCTTTGCTTTTTCTGTCACAGCTACAAGCAGCTTGGTGCCAGGCGGGGCCTTTTAGTTCTTCCCTGCCACCCTGGCCCCCAGGGGTCTGTGCTTGCTCTCATGGCAGGCCCCGCCCAGGAGGGGGTCTCTGCACCAGTTGGGCAGAGGGAGTAGGGTGGATGTTCAGCGCACACTGGGTGAGCCCAGGATACCGTCGTCTTCCCTCCATGGCTGAGGAGGGATGTGATCAGGCCTTGCATGGCCTGTGATAGGACACAAGTCCCGTGGCACATGATGGCCTGGTCAAAGCTGCTGGGCGACTCGCTGGGCTCCCTGGGAAGCGCTCACATCCCTTTCTTCTCCTCCCTGGACGTAATTTGTGTGTCTAAGGTGAAGCCCAGGCTCTTGGGAGCCTGGCCCAGCAGCGCACTGAGAGCCAGAGTCACTCAGAACTCAGGCAGCGTGTGAGGCGCCCAGACAGCATTCGCAGTGGCTCTCATGTGTCGCTCTGACAACAGAGAGTGATCGTGGGAGATACAGCTCTGGGCCCTGCAGCAGGGAGTCTGGCTCCATGACACTTGCCAGCCCCCTGGCCTCGGGCAGCCTAGCCTGCCCACTTGGGGTGTGAGCTGGTGGACCCCTGGGCTGTGCCGGGTAAAGGAGATGCGTCCATGAGGCTCCTGCTCACGGTCAGTGCTCAGCTCCCCCTCTCGTCGTCAGGGCTAGGGCAGCACCAGCAGCTCCTGGAACGGCCAGGTGACCAGGAGAAGCTGCCCTCCCCTGGAGCCCAGCCCTGCTTCAGGGAGGGAAAGTGACTCCGGGCAGGGGACTATCTGCGTGGCTGGTGACCATGGTCTTGGAGGGCAGCGTCATCCTATTAGGGTCTCCTGGGGTCCATAGGCACTTGTTCTGGTTTCTGGCCGGCCTTGTTCGGGGCCAGGGGTGCTCCTCATAGCTGTCCCTGAAAGGACCCTCTGGGTTGTGTGACCCCCAGGCGTCCCAGCCATGAGCAGGAGGGGGCTGTCCAGGGAAAGGCAGCACCCTGAGGTCAAGGTTTGTCAGAAAGTAACACTGTGGAGGGCAGGGACGGGCCTACTGCTCCATTTGTCTGCAGCATGTGGTCAGCACCTGCCGCAGAAGATAGCCGCTCCTCAGATACCTGCGATGGAGTGAACGCGGCCTGGACCGCCCATTCCAGCCCCTCCCTCTGCGGACCCATGCTCCTTGATGTCCTGGCTGGAAATGGCCTCAGGGTGACAGCCTGCATCTTTGTGTTGTCACACTCTGATTTCTTAATCTGCCTCTTGCGAGTGCGCCAAGGAAATGCCAGTGTCCCTGAAGTGTCCCTGCTTTGGAGAAATGCTTGGAGAGCTGTACCCAGTGTTCCATGTGTCCCCAGAGGCCCTCGGTGGCATTAGCTAGGCCTTAGTGCACAGATTTGGCTGCCTGATGAGCCAGCTGATGGCCATGCAATTCTAGGGAACCGGCCCCCTCAGGCTCCTCACTCCCTGGGGTTTAGAGCCGAACTCTGCTCCCAGGAGCACCGTGGGGCCCGCAGCTGGTCAGGTCTCCCCTTTGTTCTGTAACTCAGGGGTGCGACCTGGGGGACGAGCCTGCTCTCCCGCCTCCCCAGGAGTCGCACAGGCTTATGCACCTACATGTCCTGAAGGAGGTTTATTCACTCTGGTGTCACCTGCTCCCAGACCAGGAGGGCTGGTGGTTGTTGGCATCTGTGAGCGAGAGCTAGACGTGTTATAAATATGCATGTGCACTCATGGGCTCACACACGGGCTCTCGACATGCAGACATGGGCTCTTTCTGTCGTTTTGCTTTGTCATGAACATGAACTCTGATGCAGACACCTGAGGACCCCCACCTGGCCACCCCAAAAGACACCAAGGTATCATGCGTTTGAGGTCCAATGTCCCTTGTCATTCTGGAATTTTCTGTTTCCTCTTGGGGGCGTCACCAGAAGCAGCACCCCTCTCCCCCGCCCCTAGTGCACCTCTGCCTGCCGGTCACGGGGCCTCGCTGGGTGCAAGCCTCCTACGGTCCAGACTGTGGCAGCCCCCGGTGCCTGGCCTGCTGGTGCCCAATCCTGATCTTCAGCCATGGGTCAGGGTGGCAGGCACAGTGTTAGGAGTATTTAACTTTCTTCTCCTTCTCTTTTCTTTCCTGCTGTCCAGGAGATGTTCTCTTCCAGATGGCCGAAGTCCACAGGCAGATTCAAAATCAGTTGGAGGAAATGGTGAGTCCCAGCTTTCCGGTGGGGGCCCCCGGGGAGGAACAGGCAAATGCAGGTGGGCAGGCACCATCAGAGGTGAGGGGAGAGCCATCTGCGTGCTTTGCCAGGGCATCCACTTGGGAACATTGCTCCGTCACGTGGCCACACTAAAAAATGTGAGGACACAGCCTGGGCTCAGAACAAAAGTCACATACCAGGGTGGTGACTCACCATAGGGGCTGAGGATGGACAGAGGGACTTGGGAGGAAAGGACATGGGCCAGTTGGGGTCTCACACTCAGCTGGCTGCGGGGCCAGATGGAGACACTGGGTGGCAGGTCCCGGGGAGCACATGAGGGCCTGATTATAGGACCAGCCTGGACCTAGGCAGTCTAAAGTGAGAGGTCCCTCAGGTCCCTCCCACTTCACGTTCAAGTCCACAGCTCGTGTCACCTTGTGCCTGAGTAACTCCCCAGCGGAGGAGGGCAGAGTGGGGACAGTGAGGAGGCTGTGTCTGTTTTCCTCATGGGAAATGGAGCCTCTAAGTCTGTCGAAGACCGAGGTGGTCTGACATTCCAGAATTCTGTGCAGCACTCCCAGAGCCTCCTGGCTCCACGGGGCCCACCTGTCCATGCAGGGTCACCGGCCCAGGGATCAGACGGGCTCCTCTTTCACACTGACGTGCCCAGTGTCCAAGGCGCCATGGTGATCCCCTGCCTCTCCCTGTGGCAGCTCCTGCCCACCTTCCCCTGACGCGCCTCCTGCTCCCAGGCCTGCGCATTGGGCTGACTGCTGATATGTGTTCTCTCTCTGTCCAGCTGAAGTCCTTTCACAACGAGCTGCTCACACAGCTGGAGCAGAAGGTGGAGCTGGACTCCAGGTACCTGAGTGTAAGTAGTCCCAGCTCGCGCCTACTGGATCTCCTCGCCCTGCTCTGGCTCTGGCGACTGTGTTTAAACCCTTCCCTCTGTCTGAAGGGTTTTCAGCTTCCTATGAGCTTCCCATCCAGTGTGCGCCCTGGGGCCCTGACACTTCTGTCCTTTGAGACTGCGTGCAGTCCTGTGGGTGAACCGTCACGTCGGATGCCCCGCGTGCCTGCTTTCGCTGTCCCCCCTCTCAGTTGCTTTTAGTAGAGATGATGAAGTGATGTTGCCACCCGGTGGAACCCACACACATGCCTTCTCTGACCTGTTGTAGTTTCATCAAATTCTTCGTGCCCCTGTCCTTGACCTTCGCCTCTCCCAGCCAGCTGACGGGAAGAGGGAGTGGAAGGGGTCTGTTGGTGTTTATCACACGAATTCATATGAGGCACATCTGACTGCTGCTGGGATGGGAAAGCAAGGCTCAGCTGGCTTTCCCAGGCCCCGTTTTTTTTTTTTTTTTTTTTAAGATTTTATTTTTTCCTTTTTCTCCCCAAAGCCCCCCAGTACATAGTTGTATTTTCTTCGTTGTGGGTCCCTTCTAGTTGTGGCATGTGGGATGCTGCCTCAGCATGGTTTGATGAGCAGTGCCATGTCCGCGCCCAGGATTTGAACCAACGAAACACTGGGCCGCCTGCAGCGGAGCACGCGAACTTAACCACTTGGCCACGGGGCCAGCCCCCCAGGCCCCGTTTCCATCTCTGGGGAGCAGGGGACAGCCAGGAGCAAGGGGGCTGAGGCCTCCGTGTGCCCCCGCTCGCATTTGCAGCCAGGTGTTTCCTGCGGTCCTGTGGGGCTTGGGCCACTGCCACCATAGGGAGAGCTTGGACGGGCACATCAGCTCATCAGCCTCTGCTGGTCTGTCCTTTGACCCTCAGGCTGCACTGAAGAAATACCAGACGGAGCAGAGGAGCAAAGGCGATGCGCTAGACAAGTGCCAGGCCGAGCTGAAGAAGCTGCGCAAGAAGAGCCAAGGGAGCAAAAACCCCCAGAAGTACTCGGACAAGGAGCTGCAGGTGGGACCCGGCCCAGGCGCCAGGGCGGGGCTCTAGCTGGGGGACACGTGGGGGCACCTGTGGTGACTCTTCCAGTGCGTGGGGACTTCTCGTGCCTTCAGCAAGCAGTGAAGGGAGAGCACTCCCTCCGTCTGCAGCACTGAGGTCGGCCCTTTTGACGGTGTTGGGCAGAGCCAGGCTCTGCTCTGCTGGTAGATGCCGGGGTGGCGAGGGCCCCAACGTCCAGAGGAGGCAGGGTGGCCAGCGCAGTTCTCCGGTCCCCTGCTTTGGTGTCGCAGCCTTGGTGGGGTGCTGGGAGGCTCTCTGCCAAAGGAGCAGAGACTCACCTGTCCCTCTGGATCCCGCCTTGAAGAGAGACCCCAGACCGTTACTCTAATCCACTTGTCATTGCTCTGCCCCGAGACTGGGCCCAGAGCCTGTGAGCAGGCAGACGCCAGCCGGTCAGGCAGGTCAGCAGCCTTGCAGTGAGAGGCAGATGGCACTGGGGGTCACGGGAGGGGCCAGCCCTCGTGTGGGTTCTCTCACATCGTGCCCAGCGCTGCAGGCATCATGTGCTGAGTCGGGTGAGGATTTAGGACAGCATGGCCTGTGATGGGCCTGGCCCCAAAACAACTGATTCAACAGAGCTCCCTGGCTAGTTGACACAGATTAGGCCCAAAACACCCTCACCCGCTCTCTCAGATCTTATGTAACTCAGATAAGAAGGAAAACCAGAACAGGACACCCAGGTGTCTGTAAGGAAACAGGGCGAAAACGGCTTCCTGCCTGCTGGTCAGGAGTGGGAGCTTCGAGGGCACTTGGGGTGCCTGCTTGCCTCCCCAAGCCCCATCCTTCCTGCGAGTTGGCAGGTTGGCAAGCTTTGAGGAATGCCCCACACCCCTGTCCATCACCTGCTGGGCCTGTGTGTGTGTGGCTCGTGTGTGTACACACATGCACACACGTGTCCCCGTGGAGCCGGGACAGTGTTCCCTGTCTGGCCTCAGCCCCGGACTGAGAGGCTGTTCTTGCCTGTGGAGCACACACCGCACTCCCTGCTTGAGCATGATGCAGATGAGCAGGCCCACCCAGTCCCAACCGCCCTTACCCGCGCCCCTCTGCGCGTGTGGGTCACGGGGGGAGAGGACGGACTGGGCAACGGCAGGTGAGAGTCGGAACCCCTGTGTGAAAGCAGCCACGTGGCAGTGGGAAGTCCCTGTCATCCTCACGTGGCACTGTCGTGGCAGCTCCCTGCAGCCTCCTCCTCGTGTGGTTTCTTACAGAGTGGCAGGAACACAACTCCTGCCTTCCTCAGTGCGGTCTCGCTGAGATGTCTTCAGTGACAGTCGTAACCCGCGTGGGCCCCGAAGGCCTTCGCAGCGCTGCCCGATGCTGCTGCAGCGAGCCTTCCTTGAGTCATTTCCCTGAAGGAGCCCCGTAGGGGGTCGTGAGACAGAGAAGGAGAAGCACCCGCAGTGATGGCTGTCTGCTTTCCTGTCCCCGCCTTGATGCGTTTTGTCCTGAAAGCCTTGGCCCGCGACCAGCACCCCTGCTGCCTGGGAGGGCAGTAGCATCTCAGCGCAGCTGTAGTTGCATTCCCGCTGTTCTGAAGGGGACCCCCTAGGGCTGCTTGGGCGGCTGGGTGGTGGGACACTGAGATGGGCTTGTCCAGGGTTCAGCCGCCTGCCAGGAGCGGCCGGGAGCCTGCGCACCTTTCTCTTCTCCAGGTGCTTTTGTTGGTGTTGCTTTATTGAGATATAGTTCACATTCCGTGCAGTTCGCCCATTTAAAGTGCACAGCCCAGTGGTTTTGAGGACGTTCACAGCATTGTGCACCCGTCACCACAATCCATTTTAGAAAATTTTTGGCACCCCAAAAAGAAAGCCCGCACCTGTCAGCAGTCACTCCTGTCTGCTGCCACCCCACCTCTCCCGCAATCACTGGTCTACTTTGCTTTTCCGTGAATTTCCCTGTTCGGGACATCTCACGTGAACACAGCCGCACAGTACGTGGCTTCTCGCCCTCCGCATGTTTTCAAGGTTCATCCACCTTGTAGCATGTCAGCGTGTCATTCCTCTTTACTGTTAGTGTTGGTGCTTCCTTTTCTTGTACAGCTGCAAACTTGGGGGCTCTGTCCTGAGCAGGGCCCTCTCCCTGGACCAGCTGGCCCTGCTGTGACCAGCTTGCTGGGAGCCGTCGAAAGGGTCTGCAGCTGAAGGGTAGAGGTCATGGCCAGCACACCTTACAGCTGAGGAAAGGGCAGAGAGGGTGGAGGGCCGATGGAGGGTGGATGGAGGTCGGACCATGTGGGCTGGTGGCATCAATGGTATTCACTCCCACACGATACAGAGCCACACAGGCCTCAGATCCCGTCTCCGCTGAGTCATCGAGACTGCTGCGTCTGGTTCCCAGTCACCCACTCTGCTCTGCCCACTGCGAACCCTCTCTCTTCAGCAGAGCCCCGACCGTCCACCCTTTGCTTGCCGCTTTGCTCTGGACCCTGGGCCTGCAGATCCTGGAAGGTGGGATTTGCTCCATCAGCCATGCAGGGCTGGAGGGGGACATGGCACAGGCCCTCAACCCCTGCTCTTTCCGTACGGGGAGTTCGAAGTCCTCTTCTCCTTGTGGAGGGCCTTCTGGCAGTTCCCTAGCTTGGTGAGGCCACTCACGTCCAACCTGGCCTCTTTGGGCCTCACCTGGGAGATATCCGACACTGACCTTTCTCTCTGTGTCAGAGAGTCACCCCGCTGCTGAGGCTCCCTTGTGCCCTGCCTCCTGCCTCCTCAGCACAGCCTCACTGACCCCCAGCAAGGCCCGGGCACCTCCTGGTCTCTGCCCCGCCGGGCGGCAGCTCCCCACTCCTGGGGCTGTCACAGAACGGCCTCCCACAACTTGCGGCAGCTCCTCCTCGCCCGTCGTGTGGTCCCCTGCCTGGGCACCGCGGTGAGGCCTTGGTAGTCTGGCTGTGCCCCTCGCAGCCCAGTGGGCCTGGTGAGCTCCAGATCCTCTCCCAGCCTCAGGTTCCCTGTTTGTGAGGCGGGGTCCTTCCACCTTCTCCCTGCTCCGAGCACAGATGGGAAGGGCCCCGGGGCCCGCACGCAGCCACAGCGGGGTGGCCCCTCCCCGTCCTGTGCGTTCGCTCAGCTCCTCTCCTCAGGCCCTCCCCTCTGTCTTCTGCTTTCCCACATATGCTTACTTTCTGTTTTACCCTTAACCATCTGAGGCTTTATTATGATGACTTCCCCCGAATAAGTCACTTCCTTCTGGGGAGTCTGGTCCTGTGTCCCACGTGTGTCCCCTTTGGCGCACGGCACAGGTGGGTTACACTGTGACAGCCAGCGTGGGCTCAGCCATTTCAGTCACTCTTCTGAGGCTGGGAAGCCGGGGACCGGTCCAACCAGTGTGTTTTTTGCTCCGCCGTGGTGTAGAACCCCAGGAGGCCCGGCTTGGGCGCCCTCAGAGTCCTTCATCCCATGTCTGTGCTGGGAGGATGGGGTACTTGGTGTGTGGCTGCCCATGGGGCCAGCGCTATAAGCTGGCAGGAGGCAGGCCGACTGCTTGTCCGGGTGAGATACGCAGCCTGCCTGGGCAGCTGAGGGCTCCTCGGCACCAGGGGCTGTTCCTGTGGTTCTCAGAGCCTTTGTAAACCTGGCCAGCAGCCAGTGTCTTACTGCTTCAAGGTGTGGTTGCTGGGGGCTGGGAGGGTCCTGAGGACCTTTCGATGTGGCAGTGCCTCACCTCCCTTCCGTTTCCCTCTGAGGGAAAGGCCCTGCGGGTACACTGAGCCGATCTCGCAGCTAGAAGGAAGGGGGTTTTGCCTTGGAGTGTGAAGGCTCCACTGAGGTCCCGGTGGTCACGGAGCTGTGTGCGCCCCTGGTGGTATGCTGGGGACTTTCGCGGTTGTCCCCCAACCCTGGAGAAGAGCTGGCAGAGGCTGATGTGCCTCTGCATTGTCACCAGGGTGGGAGCAGGATTCTGACGTTTGGGTTCCTGGGCCTGTGTCCTTGAGCCGACCACGAGGTGGGCAACAACCCCAGGAGGCGGGAGTGACCTGGACTGTGAGCTCCTCCAGGGGAAGTGTCAGGCACGGCCCGTGGCCTTTCCCTGCTCCTTTGGAGACATTTGTGCCCGGGGTGCCTCGCACTCTGCAGGTGCCCTCTCTGGGGGGCATCACCATGTGCAGCCCTGTGGGCAGTGCCTGCAGGTGGAGGTAGGTTCTGGATCCCACGGCTGGCGCAGGGGCTGTGCTTGGGGGTCCTCAAGCTGTAATGAAGCCCCTGTTCTGACACGAGCTGCCACTGGAGGCTCCTCTTGGTGGAGGAGAAGGTGGCATGCCCAGACCACCCGAGCCCACACCGCTCTGCTCTCCAGGTGTGGATGCTGTGGCGAGAGGCTCTGACGTGTGGCTTCAGGCATGCGTTTCCTCAGTGCTCCTGAGACATGGATAGTCTTCCATGAGAGTCAATCTTGGGATCACTGTGTGCCTCCTGGAGCCCCCAGCCCACGCGTTCCCCCATCCGCACTTCAGCTTCATGTGTCTAGAACACTCGCCGGGGAAGGTGGGGAGGCTTTCCAGGAGTCTGCCGGGCAGGGGATCGACCCTCAGAGCTCATCGGGGACAGCTGCACGCCCTTCAGGGTGCTGACCTGGCAGAGGGCGCCCACCTGCTCTGCCCTCCCCCGTGGACTCTGCTGCCAGGCACTGCCGGAGCCTCGTCCACCTGGGCCTCATAGCCAGGCCAGTGACCCAATCTGCACTGAGGACAGGCTGTACCTGGAGTGGTGGTCACTGCCCATGGGGTGGCACAGGGGGCAGGAGTGGAGGAAGGTGGTCAGTTGATCAGAGCATTCCATCTGTCTGTCTGTGATGGGTTCCCCATGAGTGGGACTGGGTCAAGGCTGGCCGTTTTCAGGAGCTGCTGATAATTGAGACTGTGTTTTGGGATTTCCATGGAGAAAATTGATTTTAATTGTGGGTCACGGAACAGGCGCTTAGAGGCATTTGGGGCGCTAACTAGGACGGAG